TGGAAAGATGAACCAAGACAGCTTTTGTGAGTAATATTTTGTTTCTGTTGACTTGAATAAAGTGTGTTTTACAGGTTTTTCAAGGTGTTTTTCAAGTTACTGTTAATTTAAATAGAGTTTGGTGGGTATGGCAATGGCAAATAGAGTCCGATGGCAGTCAGTACAGGTTACAAAAAAAGACACCAAAAAAACAGAGAGAGAGAAAAAAAAATAAAAGAAAAAAGAAAAAAGAAAAAAAAGAAAAAGAAAATTAAAGAAAAAAAAACAAACAAGAAAAACAAGAGAAAAAAAAGACAAGAAAAAAACTGAAAAAAGAAAAAGAATACAAGCATACACAAGATTTTTTACATTACATTACATTTTTTCCTAACTATACAACGGTACGCAAGGAACTAGATGGAAGTTAGGATGTCCCTTCAGAGCTCCTGATGTAGGATTCCCATTTATTCCATTTTTGCATGAAGAAGTCAACTCTGTTCAAAAGTCTGAAGGACAACTTTTCCAGTGCTGCTAAATGTCCAAGTGTGCTAGACCAGAAGTTCAGAGAGGGTGCACTGGGGGCTTTCCATTCACACGTAATTAATTTGCGACCCAACATCAGAGCTGTTTGAATCCATTCTGCGTTTAGGGGATCTATATCCCTGAGAAGAGAGGGATCGCCCAACACAAATAATCTGGGAGAGAAAGGAATTTTACATTTCTGAATGCATTCAATATGAGAACTAACTCCCGCCCAGAAATCTTGTATATGGGGGCAGTCCCACAGCATGTGCCTTAAAATGCCCTCTCCCCCCTGACATTTCCAGCATTTGGGGCTGACCCTTAAATTTACCCTGTATAGTTTAGATGGCGTCCAGTAGATTCTGTTTAGGATTTTAAATTGGATAAGCCTTGTTATAAGATCTCTGGACATCTTTTCAAAGTTTTTTAATATCAGGTTCCACTCTCCACCTGTAAATGATGTGTTCAGGTCAGACTCCCATACTGCTTTAAGGGCAGAGGCAGACTTGTCTGAGCTACGAAGTAACAGTGAGTAATAATATGATGCTTCATGACATGACCCAAACACCTTAATTATCTGTGTGGGAATATCTGCATTGGCGGGTGGAGTGGAGGGGGATCTGAATGTTTGAACAAGTAAATGTCTCAGTTGTAAATAACGCCAGAACTGATGCTGAGGTAATGAAAAGGAATCCATTAAATTTTTAAAAGACCTGAGAATGTTCCCCTCATAGAGATCACCTAGAACCTTGATTCCTCTGTCAAACCACACTTTCCACATAACAGGTGAGTGGCCTCTACATAGCTTCTGGTTTAGCCATATAGAGGCTGAGAAATGATGATGAGAGTCAAATTTACATATATCAGCGACTGTCTTCCAAAGCCACTGCATATGAGATATAATTGGATGAGTTTCCTCATCTGCTGTCAGCTTGGTTGTGAAAAAACCAAGAGTCTTGTTCTGGAGGTAAGGACCAATGGGCCAGATGTCGGAGGCCGAAGGCTAGATAATATAAAAGAAGGTTTGGGATGCCAAGTCCACCCTGATCCACTGGTCTCTGCAGCTTTGTTAAGTTCAATCTAGGGCGTTTGCTGTTCCAGAGAAATAGATTACATAATCTGTCTAATTGTTTAAAGTATTTCAATGGTATATTAATGGGAAGTGATTGTAATAAATAACTTAATTTTGATATGCAGTTCATTTTGAGGACATTAGCCTTTCCCCACAGAGAGAGATGTAGAGGTGTCCATCTATCAATATCAATTTTGAATTTCTCCAGTAAAGGTTCAATATTGATACGTATAAGACCTGAGAGTTGTGGAGGGAATGTTATACCAAGGTACTTGATCCCAATAAAGGGACATAGAAAGTTGCCTGGTTTGAACAAATTTTTAGGGCAGTAGCCTGTTAGAGGGAGTGCCTCCGATTTTGCCCAATTGACTCTGTATCCTGATAATTTGGAAAACTCATTGATCAATGCAAATAGGGATGAAAGAGACCGTTTGGGTTCTGTTACCAGGACTAATGTGTCGTCCGCGTACATCATTAACTTGTGAGTGCAGTCACCTATTTGGATAGGTGACTACCGGGGAAATTTGGGTCTTTGGGTATGGCTGCTGCTAAAGGTTCCAGTGCCAGCGCAAATATCAAAGGGCTTAGCAGGAAGCCTTGTCTCGTGCCTCTGCCAAGCTCAAATTGCTGTGAGAGCACGCCATTGGTAAGGACTGAGGCTCGAGGGTGGGTGTACAAAAGATGAATCCAGCCAAGAAATTTGGTGCCAAAGCCAAAAGCCTCCAGGGTGGAGAACAGGAACTGCCACTCCACCCTGTCGAAAGCTTTTTTGGCGTCTAGTAAGAGGGCGGCTGCCGGAGAGTCTTTGCAGCGTAAAGTCCACATTATATTGATTAGACAAAGTTATCGACCGAGCTGCCACATTTTATAAATCCCACTTGATCTGGGTGTATCAGCGTGGTTATCACTTTACGAAGTCGAGCTGCGAGTATTTTAGTGAGGATTTTGCTCTCACATCCAATTAAGCTGATGGGCCTGTAACTTTTACAGTCGAGAGGATCTTTGTCTGTTTTGAGAATTAAAGAAATAACAGCATCAAGCAAAGAGGGAGGTAGGCTGCCCCTGTCTATAGCCTCATAATACATATCAGAAAGTAATGGAGTAAGCTCATTTACATAGGTCTTGTAAAATTCGTCTGTAAAGCCATCTGGACCAGGGGCTTTACCAGAAGGGAGATTTTGATTGGCCTCAGTTATCTCCTCCATAGTGAATGGCTAATCGAGGGAAGCTACCTGGTCAGCTGACAGGGTGGGGAGACCAAGAGGAGTTAAAAAAGCAACAATTTCCTGCTTACTTACGTCGGATTCAGAGAAATAAAGGGTAGAATAATATTTTTTAAATGTTTCATTTATCTTATTTGGATCAGTTATTAATTCCTGTCCTTGCATCCTTAAAGCAGAACTTATAGAACTTAGAGCTTCCTTTTGTTTAATGTATCTTGCCAGCATGTGCCCAGCCTTGTCCCCTTCTTCAAAGAATTTTTGTCTAGCTCTAAACAATACAAATTCATCTTTATGGGTTAAAATTGTATTTGGCTCATATTTGAGTATAGTTAAAGAACATAGATTGGTGGACGATGTGTTTGATTTAAAGGCCCTCTCTGCTAAGTTAATTTTTTCCTCTAGCTGAAGCTGCTTGTTGATGCTGGACTTTTTTTGAAAGAAGCATATTGTATGATATGACCTCTGATGACAGCCTTTAGCGCTTCCCATATAATACCAGCAGAGGGTGCAGAAGGCAGACTGATTTCCTTATAGGAGTTTATCTGAGCTCTTAGAGACTCTCTGAATTCTAAATCCAGTAGGAGGGTAGAATTGAGTCTCCATATAGAGGAACGGGCAGATTTGTTAAAGGGAAGCATGCTGAGAGATACAGGGGCATGGTCAGAAATTAATATGTTTCTGATAATGGAGGATGCAACTGAGGAAGTGATGAAGTTTGAAATAAGAAAAAAATCTAATCTAGACCATGTGCCATGAGGGGGTGAGTAAAAGGTATAATCTTTAACATAGGGCCCTGGCTGATCTACTTATGTGGGTAGCGGCTGGATTTCGATCTATAATATGATCCAAAACTAAATCCCCCCCCCCCCCCCCCCCCCCCAGTATGACGGGATAATGTCCAAGGTCATTTAATTTAGACTCCAGTTTCCCAAAAAAGGAGGGATCGTTTAAGTTTGGAGCATATATATTACCTAATATTATAATTTGACCTTGAATTTCAGAGAGTAAGAGAAGAAAACGTCCAGCCTCATCACTGACTTCTTGAAGACATTTAAATTGCAGTTGTTTATTAATTAAAATTACAACACCTCTGCTTCTATTACTACCACATGAGGCAAATACATGACTTATCCAGCCCTGACGAAACTTTTGGATTTCCTTAGGCATTAAGTGTGTTTCTTGCAATAACACAACATCACACTTCTGAGATTTAACGAATAATATGACCTTCTTTTTTTTTAATTGGGTGATTCATTCCCCTTACATTCCATGTCAAGAGCTTTAACCCTTTTTTATCTGCCTGCATTATGTTGTTTATTGAGTGTCACAGTCACTGAATAATATAATAAACTGAGTTCTAGTTGACCTATCGAAAGTTGTACCATCATAGTAGGAACATGCACAAAAACACTAAAAAAGAAAAAAAAGTGCATAAAGAAAATAAGTCCAAAAACTGGGTGAGAAGAAAACTTCACCCCTCGGTGCTCTAATAGCGCTACATCACCAAAGAAAAAAACACTTAGGTCTGTGGTTGCCAGCAGTGATGGCTTTTAAGGGGAGCTGTGTTGCAGTAGACATCCTCATAATAAACTAAGTGAGATTAGGATCAATTATTACGTCTCTCCCTGGACTATAATGGGACAAAAAGTAAGAGCAAGAGGAAGGACAAAGAAAAAAAAGTCCCTATCCAGTCCAATCAAAATAATAATACAAAGCTAACCAATATATTACAATTTTCTGACGTGATTCATAGATCATACAGTCCCAGTATTCCAGAAATAAGTCAAGTTATCATATTCACCTACATGTGCATTATACCATTTACAGTTGTAAATTCATATGCAGAAATGCTTTACTGTAGGAGGGAGTGTAGTGGAAATTAACATAAAAGTCCAAATAATAGCAATCAATCTCACCGGCGCACGTTATTTATCTTAGGAGTAAGAGCTGCTGGATGATGGAAGGGAGTGGATAAAGCCGGCCGCTTTCTTCGGGTTGTCAAACTCGCGTCTTCCTTCAGGTAGTTTAACCACCAGTGTGGCAGGATAGATGAGTGAGAATTTAATGCGGCGTTCATGTAGCAGCTGCTTACATTGGTTGAACTTTGCACGCGTCTCCGCAACCGGTCTCGAGTGTCCGTTCCATAACACCTTTCCCTTCCTTCAGGCGGTCTCTGTAATCTGCTCTCTGTTCTGGAACTTCAGGAATCGGGTGATGATGGCCCGCGGCGGGATGTCACCCTCTGGTCATCGCCTCGCGATGGATATGTGTACCTGGTCAATTTCAATCCCGCCGGGAAAGTCGAGCTCCAGGAGCTGTGGGATGTTGTCGCGGAGGAAGGAGAGTGCGTCCCGGCCCTTGCAGCCCTCGGGGAAGCCGACGAACCTTAAGTTGTTCCGTCTGGCCCTGTTTTCAAGGTCGTCAATTTGATCCACTTCACTCTTTGTTGCAGGAGGCTCTTTTTCCATGGCTTTGTTTGCGTCTTCCAGGAAATCCAGCCGAGATTCTGCATTGCCAATTCGTGCAGTGATTTCAGCCAGTTTATTTTCCATAGCGGCAGTTGCTCGCTGGATACTGCTCAGTTTTCCCTCCTGTTTCTCAGAAGTGTCTTTGAGTAGTGTGTATATTTTGGCAATGTCCGCCGTTCATGTGGCATTGTCCACATCTGGCCTGGCGGCGTCAGCGTGGTCCATTGTGTCCTTGTCGCCATTGCTCTGCGCTGATCCGGTCTTTGTGGTGCTTCTTGTGGTCGGAAATGGTTTTGGTGGCATAATTGCCGGTTAGCTTATAAATAACAGTTCAGGAGAGATTGATTCGTTTGTGCTATCTCAATCTATTTTAACAAATACCGCATCAGCAGCCACAGCTCTTTCTCAAGCGGCCATGTTGCTGCTCCCTCTCACGTGACTCTCCTTGGGGCTGTTTTTGGTTAAACATAAAGGATCTCTTTACCAAGAGACACTTAGAATGACAATTTGTGCCGTTAAATGGCAAAAAACAAGCACTTTTAGGGAAGTACAATGACAATGCATAATTGCCCCTATTAATATTTTATTTCAGCCTGTTTCACTGCTGCCGGCTGCAGTGATCTTGCTCAATACAGGATCAATTTCAAAAACTGTTGTCTCTATCAGTCATTCAGACTTAAAAACATGGACATGAAAAAAAGAAAATTTAGCCGTTGATTGATGATGACTACTACTACTTGTTGTAATCTTTTTCTTCATTTTTAATTTGCATTTAATTTAGCTTTGATACACTGTAACAAAAGCTTTTCCCTCTCCCTCAGCTGGAATGATAACCATTAGAAAGAGCAGTGTGCCAGTCGGGGCATCGGACACAGATTCGCGCTGCCTGACCAACAGCCAGGTAACACATGCAGAAACACACACATACACCCAAGATGCAATATGTTCCAACATGTAAGGGAACTAAAATAGTGGTTGTGAAAATAAAATGTGATATTCTGAACCACTAATGCAGCACATTATTGCAACATTAATATCTTAATTTCCTTTCTGAAAATTTCTACATACAGTTTTAGTTGTTACACAGTTTAGTTTTACATCAATGACCAAAATTCCAGACAGCAAAGTAGGGCTCTATTGTCCAAGATGTGGGGTTGGTCAAGTTGGTGGCTTGTGGTTTTTCAGTTATATTTTTAGCCTATAAATTCTCATTGCCTTACTTAATGATAATGTAAAAATAAGGGATGCACCAAATTTTTGGCCGGACATTGATATTGTTGACTGTGCCAGCAGCCTATTGGCAAAGATGACATACATACATATGTATGAACAATCCTGATTTCCAGCCAGGATTGTCTGATACTGGTTTTAGACAATGGGATAGTTGTGGCATTAGTAGACTGAAAGATTTTTTTTTCCTTCCAGTGTGGTAATGACATTTGAATAAATGTTTGGCCTAAATTTGATATATATCACTTTACATTCTACTGCTGGATAGTTTGTGGATTTCCCTTCTGGGGACCATTAAAGCCTTACTCATATTATGATTTAATTTGATTATATTTTGCGAACTGTCACCTTATCATGGTGGAGGAGTTTTAGTGTCCTAATGACCCTAGGAGCTGTGCTATCGGGGGCATTTTGCCCCGGTAGGGTTTCCCATGGCAGATTGGTCCTGGGCGAAGGGTCAGACGAAGAACGGTTCAAAAGACCCTTCATGATGGACAACAGAAAAACTGGTGTACCCGGCCCGGAGGGTTACCGGGGCCCCGTCCTGGAGCCAGGCCTGGGGTTGGGGCCCGTGGGCGAGCGCCTGGTGGCTGGGCCTTCTCCCATGGGGTTCGGCCGGGCCTAGCCTGAACCGCCTACATGGGCTTGTCCCCCTGCAGGCCCAGGGATCCAGAAGGGATGCGTGCTTTGTGGATCTGGCAGCAGACCAAGGCGGGGGCCTTGGCGGTCCAACCCTCGGCTACGGAAGTTTGCTCTTGGGACATGGAATGTCCCCTCTCTGGCGGGAAAGGAGCCGGAGCTTGTGGAAGAGGTTGAACACTACCGGTTAGATATAGTTGGCCTCACCTTGACACATAGTTCCAGCTCTGGTACCCAAGTCCTTGAGAGGGGTTGGACTCTCTCCTTTGCTGGAGTTGCTCCAGGTGAGAGGCGGAGGGCCAGGGTGGGCTTTCTGATAGCCCCCAGACTCTCTGCCTGTACGTTGGAGTTCACCCCAGTAGACGAAAGGGTTGCTTCCTTGTGCTTTCGGGTCGGGTAACGGGTCCTGACTGTTGTCTGCACTTATGCACTGAACAGTAGTTCAGAGTACCCGCCCTTTTTGGAGTCCCTGGGACAGGTGCTGGATAGTGCCTCGACCAGGGACTCCATTGTTCTGCTGGGGGACTTCAACGCTCGTGGGCAATGACAGCATGACCTGGAGGGGCATGATGGGGAGGAACAGCCTGCCCAATCTGAACCCGAGTGGTGTTCAGTTATTGGACTTCTTTGCAGGTTGCAGTTTGGCCATAACTAACACCGTGTTCGAACATAAGGATATCCATCGGTGCATGTGGCACCAGGACAGCCTAGGTCGCAGGTCAATGATCGACTTTGTAGTCATATCATTTGACCTGCGGCCATATGTTCTGGACACTTGGGTGAAGAGAGGAGCAGAGCTGTCAACTGATCACCACCTGGTGGTGAGGTGGATCTGGTGGCAGGGGAGGATGCCACACTGACCTGGCAGGCCCAAATGAGCAGTGAGGGTCTACTGGGAATGCCTGGCGGAAGAACCTGTCAAGATGATCTTCAACTCCCACCTCCGGGAGAGCTTTGACCGCGTCCCGAGGGCAGAGGGGGACATTGAGTCTGAATGGGCCTTGTTCCGCTCTGCCATTGTCGAGGTGGCTGTTGTGAGCTGTGGCCGCAAGGCCGCTGGGCCCAGTCGTGGCGGTAATCCCCGAACCTGCTGGTGGACACTAGAGGTGAGGGGAGCCGTCAGGCTGAAGAAGGAGGCCTACAGTGCATGGTTGGTCTGTGGGTCTCCAAAATCAGCTGACGGGTATCGGCGGGCCAAGCGGAGCACAGCAGCAGCAGTCCCGGGGGCAAAAACTCAAGGGGGAGGAGTTCGGTGAGGCCATGGAGAAAGACTATCGATCAGCTCCAAAGAGGTTCTGGCAAACCGTCTGGGGGGGAAGGTGGCAACTTGCTCACATTGTTTACAGTGGGGGCGGGGAGCTGCTGACGTCAACTGGGGACATTGTTGGGCGGTGGAAGGAATACTTTGAGGAGCTCCTCAATCCCACCAACACGTATTCCAGTGAGGAAACAGAACCAGGGGTCTTGGGGGTGGGTCGTCCAATTTCTGGGGCAGAAGTTGCCGTGATAGTGAAGCAACTCCGTGACGGCGGAGCCCTGGGGGTGGATGTGATTTGCCCTGGATATCTCAAGGCTCTGGATGTTGTAGGGCTGTCCTGGCTGACAGCCTCTGCAACATTGCGTGGACATCGAGGGCAGTGCCTCTGGAGTGGCAGACCAGGGTGGTGGTCCCCATCTTCAAGAAAGGGGATCAGAGGGTGTGTTCCAATTACAGGGGGATCACACTCCTCAGCCTACCCAGTAAGGTCTACTCCAGGGTGCTGGAGAAGAGGGTCCAGTCGATAGTTGAACCTCAGATTGAGGAGGAGCAATGTGGTTTTCGTCATGCTGGAGGGGTGTTTTGTGGATTTGGAGAAGGCTTACGACCGTGTCCCCAGGGGCATCCTGTGGGGGGTGCTCCGGAAGTATGGGGTTGGTGGCCCCTTGCTAGTCCTGTACTGAAGGAGCACGAGTCTGGTTTGCGTGGCCGGCAGTTAATCGGACCTGTTCCCGGTGAGGGTTGGACTCCGCCAGGGCTGCCCTTTGTCACCGGTTCTGTTCATAACTTTCATGGACAGAATTTATAGGTGCAGCCGAGTGGTGGAGGGTGTCAGGTTCGGTGACGGGAGGATCTTGTCCCTGCCTTTTGCGGATTCTGTGGTCCTCATAGCTCCATTGAACAGTGACCTCTGGCTTTTGCTGGGGCGGTTCGCAGCCGAGTGTGAAGCGGCTGGGATGAGAATCAGCATCTCCAAGTCTTTGGCCATGGTCCTCAGCCGGAAAAGGGTGGATTGCCCACTCCAGGTCGGGTGGTATGTCCTTCCTCAGGTGGAGGAGTTTAAGTATCTTGGGATCTTGTTCACGAGTGACGGTAGGATGGAGCGGGAGATTGACAGGCGGATTTGGGTGGCGTCAGCAGTGATGCAGACGCTTAATCTGTCCGTTGTGGTGAAAAGGGAGCTTAGCCAGAAAGCAAAACTCTCGATTTACTGGTCGATCTACGTTCCAACCCTCACCTATGGTCACGAGCTCTGGGTAGTGACCGATAGAATTAGATCGCTAGTACAAGCTGTCTAAATGAGTTTCCTCTGTAGGGTGGTTGGGCTCAGCCTTAGTGATATGGTGAGGAGCTCGGACATCCGGGAGGGACTCGGAGTAGAGCCGCTGCTCCTCCACATCGAGAGGAGCCAGTTGAGGTGGTTCGGGCATCTGGTTAGGATGCCTTCTGGACGCCTCCTTTGGGAGGTTTTTCGGGCATGTCCAATCGGGAGGAGACCTCGGGGCCGCCCCAGGACACGCTGGAGGGATTACATCGCCCGGCTGGCCTGGGAACGCCTCGGGGTTCCCTCGGAAGAGCTCATGAAAGTGGCTGGGGAGAGGACTGTCTGGGCTATTTTGCAGAGGCTGTTGCCCCCGCGACCCGGACCCGGATAAGCGGAGGCGGATGAGTACGACGAGTGCGAGTTGTATTGTTAACCTGAAATTAACTATTACATAAAGCTGTAAGATAAATATAGTGGAGTAAAAAGTATGGTATTTCTTTCAAAACATGTATTTTAGTAGAAGTATAAACTGGCAGAAAGTAAGTATGTAAGTAAAGTATGGACCAAAGTAAAGTATAACTAATCATAGCAGCAGCAGGAGGCATCTGGCAGGACCATGGCAGCAGCACAACCAACATGTCACACTACCCAGGCACCGCTGTGATATAAGTTAACCTGCGAGAGAGTGGAGCACAAAGGCTTCGGTGAAGAAGCTGAGTTAGTGACATGCAGTGCGGAAGAGTTAGCAAGATGCAGTAACTGAACATGAGTGTTACCAAAGGAGAGAGAGAGATGGAGAGAGAGAGAGAGAAGGAGAGAAGGTGCTCGGTGTTTTATAGGAGGTCCCCTGGCAGACGAGGCCTAAGTCAGCCTAACTAGGGGCTGGTACAAGTCACAGTCTAATTAAAGTCTTAGTTAGAGCTACCTGTGTTGGAAACATAAATTAGGGCGTCACATGGAGGCAGTATGTAGGAATCAACATTTCTAGGCGTCATACGAAGGCACCAATTATGTTGGGAACAACAATATTAGACCTCACCATGGGGACACCATTAATGTTGTAAATTGGCTATCGGAAATAATTATTATTATTAATAACAATTAAAATTATTTTATAAATTGATAAAATATTAATTAACACTTATTAATAATAATTATTAATTATGTTAAATAATGCGACTTAATTCACATTAAATCACCTTGTGGGGCACCATTCCTGGAAGGGGAAAATGATAGCCAGTTAAAGATAATAGTCTCATGAAATACGTTAAACTATTAATTTGGAATTTTGATTAATAATTAAATAATGACCATAGTTTCCAGCGTGTCCTCTGGCTCCCATCACATCAACTGGTCAAGCGAGGTATATGGCCGACATTCCACTGATGAAAAATTTTTTTGGGACGGCAGTAGCTCAGTCCATAGGGACTTGGCTTGGGAACCGGAGGGTCGCCTGTTCCGAGTCCCCATCCAGACCAAAATATGGAGCATGGACTAGTGGCTGGATAGGTGCCAGTTCACCTCCTTGGCACTGCCGAGGTGCCCTTGAGCAAGGCACCGAACCCCCCCAACCGCTCGAGGCGCCTCACCAAGGGCAGCCCCCTCACTCTGACATCTCTCCACTTTGTGCATGTATAGGTCCTGTTTGTGCATGTGTGTGTCTTTCGGACCTGTGTGTAATTGACAAGCAAGAGTGAAAACATTGACTTTCCCCTCAGGGGGATTAATAAAGTAAATAAACTTAACTTAACTTAAACTTAAACTTAACCAGAATTAATAGTAAAACATGACAGATTTCGGAGTTCTTGACACAGCAGAGGTTGACTATTTATTCACCCTTGTGCAACATTAAACAGACAGTAGGCATGATTCCAAGAATTATATTTATTCATAAAGTAGCAAAGCAAAACCAAACACACAAATTCTAACTAACAAACTACATACAACCTTGGTGTGTGTGTGTGTGTGTGTTTGAGTGTGTGAGAGAGGGAGAGAGAGAGAGAGAGAGAGAGAGAGAGAGAGAGACAAAGGCGGGTGTGGTGATCAAAGGGCTGTTTGGCCTACAAAACAAAATGGCTGATAACAGAGAACTACAAGATGGCCGAATCAAAGCTGGCTTCAGATCAAGGGAGGTCTGACTGTGTGGTCAGGACAAAGACAAAGGAAAAGAAGTGGGAACTTTGAGTTGCCTCTTTGGGTGTAGCTCTGTTGAAAGCCTATTTGTTAATGAGTCTATGTAAATGTGATTTCTGTTGCAAACGGTCTGGATTAGTGCACACATTGTTTAGTTGTGTGCAAGAATCTGTCTGTGAACAGCATTAGCAAACTAAACACTTAGCTTTGGCAAATCCAACTAACCAATGACCTAACTGCAAACAATCACAACAATAACTGAATGACCGCATTAAATCACATACAGCAAGTTAAACAGTCTTGCTTAGCCTGTAAAGCTGTGATAAAGCTATGGCCAGTTGTTGCGTTACCAATCCTTGAATGGATGGAAGAAAGAGTCACTTGGTGGTGTGCTGCTTTGTTAGCCGGCGGAAGAAGGCTGGAAAGAGCTGTGGTTCCAGATGCAGTGTTTGGTGTGTCCTTTGTTCCAAAGGTGGAACTCTGAGGAAGCCGGTCGCTCAAGGTCTTTACAGAGTTAGACGCTGGATGCTAACCCACTTGGTTCTCCTTGTTGCCAGAAAGCTAGTTGCAAACCTTGTGCTTGCAAGTCTAATTTCTCTGGTTCAGTTTTGCCTGTCCCTTGATCATGGGCAAGTCATGGTCCAGGAAGAAGAGAGTCTGTGAGCAATTGCCCTCCCTTTAGTGGTTTGGGGCAATGGAACAAGGGTCTGGTTATCTGGCTGAGAGGTGTGGGCTGCTCGAGAGAAAATATTGTCTGAAGGGAGCAGACCTTCTACAGATGCCTGTGACATGACAGAGTCACATGTCACTGTAAAAGTCCTGTCCAATCAAGTTTTGATGACTGGTCTCTCCCCCTGTGGAGATGAGTGTCAGATAGCTGTCTTTGTTTGAATAACAAAGAGCACGCAGAGAAGAAAAGTCTTCACATGTTCAGTTTAGATTTTAACAAATGACAAATCATCTGTGGTCCTGTGAATCCCAACACCAGATAATAGGTAATAGATACAGTAATCCAGCCTAGAGGTATTTTTTTGCATCTTTCCGGTTCAGGATAGGCCTAATTTTCACAATATTATGCAGATGAAAAAATGCAGTCCTTGAGGTTTGTTTTAAATGGGAATTAAAAGACAAATCTTGGTCAAATATTACTCTGAGGTTTCTTAAGGTAGTGCTAGAGGCCAGAGCAATGCCATCCAGAGAAACTATGTCATTAGATAGAGTCTCTGAGGTGTTTGGGGCCAAGAACAATAACCTCAGTACATAAGTGAATCATGCCAACCTTTGCTCTGTAAAGAACTTTAAATCCCTAAATCATTACAATTGATACAGTTGGTTATAATTATTATTTTGATTATTAATCAGTGTTCCAGATTGACAGTTTAGTATATTTAATGAGGCTGAATTATTTATTTGGCTATCATTTTCCTTTTTCAGTAGGTGATGCCCCACAATGTGCTTTAATGTAGATCAAATCAATTTAATTCAATATAATATAATTGATAATTAGTTTTAATAATTATAAATTTTTTCTGATAGCCATTTTAATACTTTTAATCATGAGTTCCAAACAATGGCATCTGAAGATAACGGCCAGAAA